GGTTGGCTCTACCTATTTTCGAATGAAGGAAAAAGAAATAGAAAGTTTACACATACGGGAAGAGTAATACGGTGAATGGCCACACATGCGCGAACCGCACCAAACAGACCGATGCACTCGCACAAAATTATAAAGCCAGCCATTTCCATTTCACCACCTTCTCTAACAGTGATTGGTAAGCATACCATGCGTGTTAAAAAACACTGAATCAATTATCATCATCATCTTCAGCCTGACTATGTCGACTGCAGGGCAAAGGCCTCTTCCATGTACCGACAGTTAACCCGGTCCTGTGCTTGCTGCTGCCAATTTATAGCCGCTAACTTATTAATCCCATTTGCCCACCTTACCTTCTGTCTCCCCCTAACCCGCTTGCCTTCTCTGGGAATCCAGTTAGTTACCCTTAATGACCAGCCGTTATCCTGTGTACGTGTTACATGCCCAGCCCATGTCCATTTTCTCTTCTTGGTATCAACAATGATATCCTTAACCCTCGTTTGTTACCTAGTTCACTCTGCTCTTTTCTTGTCTCTTAAGGTTACACCTACCACTTTTCTTTCTATTGGTTGCTGCTTCGTCCTCAATTTAAGGGGAACCCTCTTTGTAAGTCTCCAGGCTTCTGCTCTGTAGCTAAGTAACGGCAAGATACAGCTGTTATATACTTTCCATTTGAGAGATAGTGGCAATCTACCTGTCATAATTTGAGTGCTTGCCAAATGTGCTCCACCCCACTCTTATTCTTCTATTCAATTTAATGTCGTGGTTTTGCTCCGCGGTTATTACCTGCCCTAAGTAGACATAATTTTTTACAGCTTGAAGTGCACTGTTACCTATCTCGAAGCGCTGCTCTCTTCCGAGGTTGTTGTGCATTACTTTCATTTTCTGCAGATTAATTTTAGGACCCACCTTTCTGTTCTCCTTGTCTAACTCCGTAATCATGAGTTGCAATTCGTCCCCTGAGTTACTTAGCAATGCAATGTCATCGGCGAAGCGCAGGTTATTAAGGTACTCTCCATTAACTCTTATTCCTAACTGTTCCCATTCTAGGCTTCTGAAAACTTCCTGTAAGCACGCAGCAAACAGCGTTGGGGAGATTGTGTCCCCCTTCCTTACACCCTTCTGGATTAGTACTCTATTGCTTTCTTTATGAAGCACTATGGTAGCAGTTGATCCCCTGTAGATTTTTTGCAGGATGTTTATATATACTTCATCGACGCCCTGATTCCGCCGTGCCTGCATGACGGGTGATATTTCTACCTAATCAAACGCCTTCTCATAATCTATGAAGACTATGTACAGTGGTTAGTTATATTCTGAGCATTTCTCTATTACCTGATTGATTGTATGAATGTGGTCGATTGTTTAGTAGCCTGTTCTAAATCCTGCTTGTTCTTTTGGTTCATTTATTTCTAAGGTTTCTTTACTCCAATATATTTACTATATCAAAACCTATGTTTGATTATGATGGGATTGGTTTACAAGGCTTTGCGGCATTCAACGGTGCAGAGTGTTATTACAACTAAATATGATTTACGGTCATTAAGGATGACGCACTCGATTCCAATAGAAGACAAATGCGTGAGGGGGAGACAGAAAGTTAGGAGGGCAGATGAGATTAGGGAGTCTGTGGGTATAAAGTGGCAGCAGCAAGCACATAACCGAGTTCACTGGCGGAACATGAGAGAGGCCTTTGTCCTGCAGTGGGCGTAATTAGACTCGTGATGATGATGCTTTATAGGTTGTTCAATAGGACAAATACCTTGAAACTTAGCTCAGACACGGCGTTCCAGAGCTGGGACGGTGCGTTAAACGATGGCTCCGCCCACAACAGGTGAGCGAGGAGCGGCCCGAGTCTTCGGACGACTTCTCCAAGAAGCGGCCCCGCACAGGCTTCTTCATCGAGTTATTCAGTGCCAACATGGCTGCACAGGACCGATGGAGAAGCCAAAACCAAGAGGTAATTTCGGGACCATACTGTCTTGCAAGTTTTTTGCGCTGCAGCGTATACATCTTCCCAGCGTTCGAGTTGCAATAAAGAAAAATACTGTGCAAGCAAGCTCTTAGTTCTGTGATGGCTTATCGCTTAGGTTGTGTTCTTTTTATGTAGAGTTCGGTTTTCTTTTCGCATTGTCAGCCCCTTGTGAATACTTTGTCATTGTATTGCCCTCCTCACGGGCCAGCATATTGCCCTACAGTATGGATAAGTTAATAAATGAATAAATAAAATTTATTGTTAGATGATTATTTCGAGCATGATGTGATCGAAATGATCGCACTTAACAAATCATTGCCTATACCCACTTCATCTTTGACAATTAAAAGTAAAGAAAAAAAGGGGGCACGCACTGGAGGTCTCTCTGATTGGTCTTTCCTGCGTAGAAAAGTAAAGGGCTAACGTTGTGAAGAAAAAAGCTACAAACATTTCTCGAACTACTTACTAATATACTGTAGTGTTGTGCGTTTACACCAGATGGCCTTCTGAGTCATTGGACTCACAATAGATGGCGCCACTGCGCTCGTGTGTATATAAACGATACTCGCTGATTAAACTGGGTTATTGTCATGGATCGTACAGTGGTGTAGCGTGGTTACTTTCACGTGTCGCCGTGCCGGCTACACGACATTCTGGTGACGAGGATGGCTTCCACGGGCATTTAGCCACCTCCTCCTTTTCTGGCCACCCCCGGCACGCCCGATGTGCCATGGGCCCGATGGTTACAACTGTTCGAAAGGTTTCTGCTGGCGTCCGGAGCGAACGAGCCATCCGAACCCCGTCACCGAGCTCTCCTGCTGCACTGCCTTGGGACGGAAGGACAGCGCATTTTCGACGCGCTTCCACCTAGTACGACGCAAACCAAGGCAGAGACAACGAGTGCTGCACCCGGTGTCACGGCCACGCCAGATGCCGCCGCTGGAATCATCGGAACCACTGCACCTACTGGAACGCAAGACATGACCACGGAAGCCCTACGCCCACCCGACGAGTACGACGTAGCCGTTGAGATGCTTTCGAAGCATTTCGCCACCCCTTGCAACGTCCGCCTTCAACGCCATCGATTCCGGGAGCGTTGTCAACTGCAGGGTGAGCCCATCACTGATTTCGCCGTAGCGCTTCGGGAGTTAGCAGCTCTTTGTAATTTCACCACTCAAGCGGACGAAAACCTGTGTGAACAGTTCGTAGCAGGCGTCACGTGCCCGTGGCTACGAGAGCGATTGCTGCTGGAGGGCGATAACCTTACGTTCGATCATGCTGTCGAGGTAGCACGGCTTCGTGAGCAAACCCAGCGTGAATCCGAAGCCTTCGCCAATCCTGTGCAGCGCATTCAGCAGCAGTTGCGAGACAGCTCAGCCAGGCACGATCGACGAGATAATGGCGATAATGGCACACGCCTCCGGGGCCGTCGCCACTTCAGCTGCTCACGCGCGTACAGCGCACCTTCACCTGATATGAATGCCGCCGCCGCTGCAGTCCCCGGGCCTAGAAATGTAAATGCCTGCGGAAACTGCGGCGCAGCACGGTGTTCGCCTACGGAATGTCCCGCGCGCGGTCGCACATGTTTTGCCTGCGGACGCCGCGGCCATTTTAAGAGAGCATGTCGCAGCTACCGTCGCGGCCGAGAAGGGTATTCTACAGAGGTCCAGGAAATCGTTCCGGAAGAGGATGCTACCAGTGTCATTAGCATCTTGGCGGTCCGTACTGATAAGAGCACAGGCGTCTACGTGGATGTCAATGTCGCGTCAGTTACTGCGACGACACGGGTGCATACCATGAACTTTTTGGTGGACACAGGCTCGGCGATGTCTATTATGGGTGAGCACCAATTCCAAGGCTTGTTCGCAAACGCAGTACAACTGACAAGTTCCCATCTTACATTGCTGGATTTTTCGCGCAGGAAGATTCCCGTTATCGCGTCATTTCACGCCATAGTCACATACAAGGGGAAAGAACTTTTCATGTTACGCTATGTGGTACATCTCTCCTTGGCCTGGATGCTGTTCAAGCCCTTGGCCTTCGCATCATAGGAGAGGAATTGCGCTGCCTGCAAATGTCCACGCAGGAATGCCGAGAGCTTCCAGCAATGAGTTCAGACCTTCCCCAAAGCCCCAGGCATGAAAAACCCCTTGGCCCTCCCAAGTTTGGAATGCCGCCAACACTGTGGACCAAGTTTGGCCACTTGTTTTTGCCTGACCTGGGACTTGTAAGAGGGGTGCAACACCAAGTTAAGATGAAAACTTCCATCGCGCCAGTCGCACAGAAGCTGAGGCCCCTACCATTTTCAGTCCGCCAGCCAGTCTTTGACGAGATTGAGAAGCTACTTGCTGCTGATGTCATTGAGAGAGTCAATGCTTCCGAGTGGGTATCTCCTATTGTAGCAGCCCGCAAAGCAGATGGTAGCATTCGACTGTGTGTCGATCTCCGGGAACCCAACAAAGCAATAGTAGCAGACAACTTCCCTTCGCCTCATATGGAGGAGCTGCTTCATGCCCTCAATGGAGCCCGCTGCTTTTCCAAGGTGGACCTGGCATCAGCCTACTACCAGGTTGTGCTGCACCCAGACAGCAGGGACCTAACTTAATTTATAACTCACGATGGCCTCTTTAGATTCAAGAGGGTCTGCTTCGGGTTGGCATCGGCACCAGCTGCGTTTCAGCAGATCATAACGAAAATTCTTGGAGGTTGCAAAGGGGTCTTATGCTACTTGGATGACATAATCATTTTTGGCAAGACGGAGAGCGAACACAGGCAAAACCTTGAGCAAGTGCTGGAACGAATAGCAGAAGCTGGGCTCAAGCTCAACAAAAAATGCGTCTTCAACACGTCGGAGCTGTCGTTCTTAGGACATCGCGTCAGCGCAGAGGGTATAGCACCGCTCTAGACCAAGATTGATGCAATCATCAATGCTCCTGCACCTAGAGATGCAGCCACGCTACGCTTCTTTTTAGGGCTAGTTGAATACTATTCCAAATTCGAGACGCGACTGGAAGAGCAAGTAGAGCCAATGCATCGTCTACTTCGCAAAGACGTGCACTTCGACTGCGATAACGCTGCGAAAGAGAACTTCGCGGGAGTAAAAAGACTTCTAGCATCCCACAAGGTCATCCGAATGTTTGACCCGACGCTACCTGTCATTGTCGCAACAGATGTCTCTGCGTACGGTCTCGGTGCCGTACTGCAGCAAGTGGAAGGGTCCCATGTGCGTACTGTGGCATTTGCATCGCGGACATTAACAGAAACAGAACGAAAATACTCGGCCGGAGAGCGCGAGGCCCTTGCCTGTCTGTGGGCCTGCGAGAAGTGGCACGTTTGCCGCTGGGGCAGATCATTTACTCTACTGAGGGATCACCAGGCTTTGGTGGCACTGCTCTCATCCCGTAGCACAGGACAGTGGCCACTTCGTATTGCAAGGTGGACCGCACGACTGCTGCGCTACAACTTCAAAATACAGTACCGCAGCGGAGCCCACAACCAGGTAGCAGATGCCTTGTCCAGACTGCCCATGCCAGACACAGAAGGGGGATTCCATGTTGATGAAGAGGTTGTGTCCTTGGTTACATCGTCTGTACATCGGGAGAATCTTCAGGTTGCTACCGCGGAGGATGACATACTACAGCAGGTAATGCAATTTATCCAGTCATCACGGCCAACAAGGAAAAGACTTGCCGCAGAACTGACTCCGTACTACGAAATACGAGACGAGCTCTCGGTAGTACATGGGTTGCTTCTGCGCACAGAACGCGTTGTAGTGCCTGCCAAGCTAAGGGATACATTCATCCAGTTAGCTCATGAGTCACACCCGAGAATTGTGAAGACTAAGCAACGCATCAGGGAGAAGTACTGGTGGCCTTGCCTTGACAAGCATGTGGAGGCCGCCGTCCAGAGTTGCAGCGCCTGTCAAGCCTCGGACAAGAGTGTCAAGAACTGGCAAGCCCCACTACAGCATGTCCCGCTTCCTGACAAGCCTTGGGACAAAATATCAATAGACATCATGGGCCCCTATGAACGTGCACCGGCCGACTGTCGATTTGTCATCGTGGTAGTGGACTACTTCTCCAGATGGCCAGAGATTGCGTTCTGCAGTGACATCACTTCTCGCACGGTGATCAACTTTCTGCTTGCTGTCTTTGCGCGAGAGGGTTACCCGACTGAACTAGTCTCAGACCGTGGCCGACAGTTTACGCCGAGTGAATTCGAGTGCTTCCTTGCAGACAGGGGCATCAAGCATTTCTTCTCGGCAGTTTACCACCCTCAAGCCAATGGCTTAGTGGAAAGATTCAACAGGGTCTTGAAATCGTATATACAACTAGTTCTCCTAGAGCAGCGACCAATCAAGACCACAGTTATAGAGTACCTGGGTATTTACCGAGCCACACCCCACAGCGCCACTGGCATCTCTCCAGCAGTGTTGCTTCATGGCCGCCACATGAGGACATCATTAGATGTTGTTGGCCAGCCATCAGTGGATTTCGGCACCCATCCCGCCCGTGAACTGCGTAGACTTCGGCGTCGTGTCTGCGAATACCAACAAAGAAATAAGGCGTATGCAGCCAAGCGAAGAGCAGCCCGGGAGCCCAAATTTAAAGTGGGGGGCCTACGTGTGGGTGAAACGCCCAGCACCTGGAATAAAAGGCACCCCTAGTTTTGGGGCTCCACTCAAACTACTGAGGTGGCTAGGACGATGGTCATTCCACTTGGAGGACGGCCGTACCTGGAATGCCTCCCAACTGTCGGCTGTACCCCATGAAGCTGTTCACGAAGAAACAGGGGCAAGACAAGAACCGCTGTGGGCGGACATGGAGACAGGCGGGTCGGCAGGAAACGCCACAGCACGAAAACCGTCCTCGAAGGCAAAGAGCCACATGACCCAAAATATCCCAATACAGGAAGCTGCACAGTCTCCGGGGGGGGGGGGGGGGCAGCACTGCCTCCTCATACGCCAAGCCCACCACGGCCTCCACCAACGGATAACACGGCCGCAGGACTGGGTGCTGATCGTGCCGACGAACCAGAGGTTGTCCATCAGCCAGAAGAGCAGCCGGTGCCCCTCCATCGCTCTACACGGGAACGAAGACCACCAGAGAGACTCGGGGACTATGTGCAGTCACTTGTTTACAGTGGAGACTTACTATAGTTTTCTGTCACGGGTAGTGACTGTTTCTTTTCTATGCACATAATCTGTGTTCTATTATCAAGGGAGGGGGTAAATGTAGTGTTGTGCGTTTACACCAGATGGCCTTCTGAGTCATTGGACTCACAATAGATGGCGCCACTGCGCTCGTGTGTATATAAACGATACTCGCTGATTAAACTGGGTTATTGTCATGGATCGTGCAGTGGTGTAGCGTGGTTACTTTCACATGTCGCCGTGCCGGCTACACGACATATATCATGCAACCTGAAATCCAGAAGAAATTTCACACTTCATTCCCTAAGACGGCAATGCACATCTATCCCACCGTTTTCACAGTATTCATTCGTTCGTTCATTTGATATAATTGGTCCCAAGCACACCGCACAAAAAGCGCATTCCATGGAAAGTAGTCTACCAACAAGCCTCGTACACTGTACTGAGATTGAGTAGAGTGATTTTGCGAGTGTGTATTGCTGATTCCCGTATATAGCTACATTTTAATGATAATTCCTAAGGATACCCTGTTGCATCCCGTAGTTAGTTTTGGAACTTCGAGCTGTTGAAACCAGTTCAGTGTTGTCTATGGGCCATAAATTCTATATGTGCTTGTAGTTTTGATAAAAGCACATCATTGTTGCATAGCTTCTAAAACTCACATTGATGTTTGCTCCGACTCTCATGTCGACAACAAAAGAAGACGCGACACTATTCAGAGAGACTTGGCACACTTGGCTTGCACTTGAGAAAACAGAAGTGCCCTTGGGCGTCCCCCCCCCCTAGACAGCCCCATATGCATTGACATAATAGGGAAGAGGGGGCTGCGACGAACCTTCGCCCGTCTGAAGAGGAACCCTATGACAGTACCCATCATGTCCAGTTCTTCCTTTCCTTTCTGTCGATTGAAACGTTTACCGCCCATTCGCCATATTTATGACTCTTTTAGGGGCGAAGCTTCTTAAGGCAGCACCCGTTAGTTCCTCGTCGTAGTACGTAACATGTTTTACGCTTTGACCTGCAAGGTGGTGCCGGTGGGAGATTTCTCCTGTGTGTTGTGGAACCCTAAAAAAGTTAACGCGCAGCGTGCGCGTTAACTAAAAGCTGAATTCTCCTGTCTCTCATTCCCCCTTTGAAGCCATTGGCATGTACATTGAGCACTATCTCACAAGAAAGGGTTGCTACGCTACACTCGCTGGGCATAACCTCCTTTGTTTTAGAAAGGCTTAGTGAGCGTCGGGCCACAGTGCCGTGAATAAAGTAAACTAGCATATACCATGAACTCGAGGTGGTTAAAGGTGGGAAGCAAACACGAAGCGCAAGCCGTAAGAAAGTGTGCGTGTGCCACCTCTCGTTTAGTCCTTGGAATGTCCGCTGGATGGTGGTGCTTCTATATGGGGAATATATGATGAAAAGATGAGAGATGGTGGTACTTGGAGTGTTGAATAGATGGACGAACGAACACACAGGCAGATGCATGGACGGACGCACGAATGGCTGCATGGACAGATGGACGCATGGACGGACACAGGGGCGGATACATGGATAAACGCAAGGACAGACGCACGCACGGACGGTCACACCGACGGACGCATGGATGGACGGAAGCAATAATAAAAGGACAGATGGATGCTTCGCCCCACTCTTCATCATTCACCCTGTGGATATGCTGCCACTTTTTCCCTTCTTGTATCACGGCAAGAGGTCCTCCGTACAGGTAGCGAATCTTGTCAATGGTGCATGAAACGAACGCTTGGATTGTAACTTGTTAGTGACTTGTGCGCGAAAAAAACTTTGCTCTTGGTCATATCTCAGCGTTCCGGCTTAGTGTTCATTATTCTCTTCGGCTGTATTAATACCCCTGTCACACGTGAACACTTAAGTTCACTTTGAGCAAGTGTACTTACGCTCACAAAGTGTCATTTTGGTAGTTCGCTGTTACACGACAAAGCGAAGTGTACTTTGGAAATGATGGCAGTGGCAATTGTCTGTTTGCAGCGGAATATGTATTTTTAATTTAGCACTCTTGCCTCATCGTGAGACCACGTTGTCTTCGTTGAAGTAGCACCAGTGCATGGCACATGCCATTGTAAACGACTAGAGAATGACTCGCCTATACATGTGGAAGTGTGCCTGGAAGTAAACATCGCGATGGACGCAGCCGTCACACAGCGTGTGCTGCCGCATCCCACTAGCGGAAGTGGTCGCAAATTGGCCGAGTGTGAGAGCAGCAATGATTTTTATTGTTTTATGACTTGTTTTAATACATATTAGTACCAGTTATAAAGAAAACACTAGTTAAGGAATGGTACAAGTGCCACTTTAGGCAACAGCCTATTGTGTGCAAGCCACTGCATGGTACTGGGGCTACGTACTTCGTCGGAGCGAAGTTAGGTTGAGGTACGCACTTTCCGGTGTGTGTACTTTGCAGCGACTGACACAAAACTTGCTGGTGTGATAGCGCGCAAATGACACCCACGGCTAAGTGTAATCGTTGAAAGTGCACTTAAGTTACCACGTGTGACAGGGGTATAAGGATCATGAAACAAAAAAATACCATAGAGCAAGCAAACCCACTTGTCTCTTTCTATCTTTTCTCTGTGACGTGTGTGTCATCTTTCTTGCGATTGTTTGCAAACAGCTGTACGAACAAATGAGTCCAAGTCGCGGGGAGTTCAGTAATAAAACAAATATGCATAGCGACTGTGCTCCAAGTTTAACCGATAAGTGAGTCATTTGAGAGTTAACCACTGATATGACGAAAGGCTCGCCGAGCAGTGCGAGGCTATGCTGCTCAGTACGTGCCCGGAGGGCCAGCTCTGGGCTGTCCGGCTGACCGAAAACGACGCCAGGATCCGAAACATGGCCGCCACTCGAGGAACGGTGCTTACGGAGGGCCCTGTCTCCCGGGGAAAAACGTTCTCTGTCTGTACATCCGTCTGCAATAAACTCACCTAAATCGGGGACAGAAATATTGCCAAAAAAAATTTAATGCTCGCAGAACACACTGAGGAGTGGCAAGCGCATGTCGAACTCACGAAACCCAACCAGTCCTTGTATGGGCTTCTGCTACCCGCCGTGCATGGCTTTTGCAAGTTTCGTTAAAATAGCACCAAGTGTTTCTCACAGCAAGTTAAAATTTGAAGCCAAACGCACAACCGCACAGAAACAGCGGCAGCGATTCGGCACAAACGATCTGATAAAAGAAAAAAAAAGTGACCTTACTCGGTCGTGTCGATACTTACCGTTGAAGAGTGCTTTGGTCAGCGAGTGGATGCGGAGCCTTCCATCGCGAGATAGAGGCACCATAGTCACTGAAACATTTACCTTCGGCGCGACTAGCGTGCCCAGAGGCCTTTCGAACCACATAGGCATTTGGAGACGGCACACTCGCCGACATGCAGCTAACGTTTTTTCTGTTGCTGCAGGTTAGTGATAATTGCCCAATTACGATTTGTAGATTATTGTGTGCATTGCCGGCTCCATGTCCCACATGTGATGTATCTGTTCACCGAACGCAAAAGCCGATGATGTATCGTAGCAACCGCTTTCGTTTCTTCACGCATAAGGTTCTGATTGATTTGTGGTGTTTAACGTCCCAAAACCAACATTTGATTATGAGAGACGCCGTAGTGGAGGGCTCCGGAAATTTTGACCACCTGGGGTTCTTTAACGTGCACCCAAATCTGAGTACACGGGCCTACAACATTTCCGCCTCCATCGGAAATGCAGCCGCCGCAGCCTGGAATCGAACCCGCGACCTATGGTCAGCAGCCGAGTACCTTAGCCACTAGACACGCATAAGGTTCTGTACCTTGCATTATTGTAATACTTTCCGGTGATGTTGAGTTGAATCCCGGTCCGCTAAATGCCCAAGAGTTCGAACTGCTTAAAACCTTACAAACTGGTCAGGCTACAATTTTCAGTAAGTTAGAGGCCATCGACACCAGATTGGCAAAACACGAAGAAATGATGGCAGAAATTACGGTAAATTACGTGCGACTGAAGGTCTAATTACTAACGCTCAAAGAACAATTAAGCGACCAGAAAACACCATTAGGACAATAGCAAAAGAAGTTAAGCAGCTGCATGACAAGGGCCGTCGACTCGGAAAATAGGAAGCCGGAGAAACAACCGTGGTCTTTTTTGGGGTCAGCGATTCTGAATCAGAAACGTGGGAACTGTCTGAACTACTGCTCAAAAACATCTGCAAAGAAAACTTGAATTTAGAATTGCAGGTCAGTGGAAAGAGTGCATCGTATAGGTCGTTATAAGGTATCAAAAAACAGCCCTATCATCGTCAACTTGCCTCCTACAAAGAAAAGTCCCGTGTTCTTTCCGAAGCTAAGAAATTCAAGGGAACGACGTACAGTGTCGAGCAAAATTATGCACCTGAAACAAGACCTATTCGGAAAAGACTTTGGGATAGTTAAAACCAACAACATGAACGAAAAACATCGAGGTAGGTTGAACTTTGATAAGTTAATTGTGGATGGTAAAACATATAGGTGGGA